TTGGATCATTTTTCTCATAAGGAGATATTAATATGTTTCATAATGGGTAGCTGCGAGGGACTTTATTTTCTGAGAGGATCATGGGATGGTGAGATGTTTTGGAATAAAAGTGCAAGGGGCCTTGCTCCTGCCTCTGTCATTAACTCCTCGGTGACTTTAAAATTCTCCCCTTTTGGACATCTACATCAACTGGCACAGCATAGTTCATGAAGACAATGTTCTGCATCCTGCTTTGCTGAGTAGCATCTGGAATCTTAAAAGCTTGCGAGTGGCCATCTAAGATACAACTATTGACCTTTACCTGTCTGGAGCAAAGAAGAGTGAAGAAAACCAAAGACTCAAGGGAGCAATTAGTCCAGAGGACTAATGGACCACATAAATCATGGCCTACATGACCTCAAGACCAGAAGAACTAGACAGTACCCAGCTACCGCTACCAACCTCTGTGACTGGGATCACAACAGAGGGTCCTAGACAGAGTGTGAGAAAAATACAGAACAAAAGATCAAATTCACAAAAAGACCAGACTTACTGATCTGACAGAGACTGGAGGAATTCCCAAGTCTATGGCCCTAAGACACCCTTCTGACCTGGAACTGAAACCACTCCAGGACCACCTCCCAGCCAAACAATAGACAAGCCTGTAAGATAAACAATAACACCCAAGAGGAATGTACTTCTTAAAACAATTAATTATACAAGATCAAAAGGGCAATGTCTGCCCAAAAGCAAAGATAAGATGGCAGAAAGGGGTAGAAAATCAAGACTAAAGGAAACGGGAAACTCAGGGTGGAAGTTGGGAGAGAGATGACACATTGTAGGGAATGACACCAAGGTCTTGAAATACTTTATGTATAAACTATTGAATGGGAAACTAATTTGCTCTGTGAACTTTCACCTAATGCACAAAAAACAAACAAACAAAACACCTCCCCTTTCTGTGATGGATCTCTTTCCAGCAATATTGTGACATGCTATTCTTGAGATATCAATGACATTTAAAAACATATACTTTTAAACAGGAGTTGTCTTTCTCCCCCCTAGATGTTTACATAGTGGTTTTTTGTTTCTTTTAACAAATATTGATCATTTGTTAGCTTTCAACTTATAGAAACCTCTCCAGAAAAAAAATTAGCTTCTTTTCTCCGTGGAGAGGAATGAACACAAAAGAAATTCTATAAATAGGATTTTATGGAGTGGGATAAGTTGCTTTCTAAATTTCCCATGAGACATCAGTGGTTCTTAAGAGGAAATGGGGGTGATAATTTTAAATCTTTCTACACTTGGGCTCCTAATGAACTTGAGTGGTTTGTGATTCTCTCCTGTCATGTGCCCATATTCCTTTGGAGAGCATTTCTTCTAGCTGATTCTACAACATGGAGGAAGGGTGGGAGCTATCGTTTGCCACTTCTCCCTATGTGCCAGGCACTGAGCTAGTCCTTAAATAGCCTTGTATGGTAAGTAACCTTATCCTCACTATACAAATAAGGAAATTTAGATGCAGAGAGGTGCAGTGGCTTGCCCAAGGTCACAAAGCAAAGTCAAGATTAATTCTCATGTACATTTGACTCCAAAACTTTTTTTTTCCGTGTACATTTCTAGCCTATTGATTCCTAGGAACATTCCTGGCTTCTCATGTAACCATATTTCTTGGACTTTTGATTCAGTGAAGAATTTGTCCTTGCATTCATTAGTCATTTGAAGAACTGCATCCCAGAGTATAAGGGGAAACTCCTGTCAATGTTTAACAGCTACAAGGATTTCCATTTTTACCCTAGACTCTGTGACCACTTACACCTGTTGAGAGTGGTACCCAAGACCAATTCAACTTAGCATCCCTCTCTGGGCCCAGAATACTGTCTACACATGGTGGGCACAAAATAAATTCTATAATGAGTGGATGAATGGATGGATGAAAAATTCATCACTCTTTGTTTGAGTCAACTGAAAATGTATGGTGACCACAGGGATAAACCTGGGAGAACCTGTCTCCGTGCAACCCTGGTCACATATCCCATCCCCAGCCTTATATTCAAAGCTTCCCAGCAGGTGCTCTAGGAGTTCCAGCCTTACTGGTCCCTGGCCTGAGCCTTTGTGTCTTGAATCTTGGGTTCTTCCTGCAGCCCTAGGCTGGGCTGCTTCCCACTTCTCCCCAAAGCTCCTAAACCCACTATTCTATCCTCCAGGGGAGGACTGGATGGAAATCCCAGGTGTGTGGTCTTGGACAAGTCATGTCCCTTCTCTTGAGCCTCAGTTTACCCTTCATTGGAATGGGGCTAAGAATACCTCCCTGGTAGAGTAGTTATAAAGATTCAAAGAACTAATGGGCAGGAAAGGGCCTGGTATACAGATGGTGCCCAAGAAATGCTTACAGAATTGAAATTCTTTTGAAGCATTTCCTGTCTACTGCAGTCAGCATGGATGCTTCCTTCCCCTGCCCCGGTAGCAGATGTTGCAATCAACTGTATTTGCAGGCATCACTAGAGAGGATGGGTTATCTTGTAAAAAGGATAAACGGAGAATTCTTTTTGGTAAATTACGGCTCCTGCTAAAGATTTGACACTTCTATTTTCTACCTGTCAGGAAGGAAAAAAAAAAAGACTATCTACCAGTGGTCAGTTAGGTTTCCCTTTTTATACTTCATTAACCCCCAGAGCAAGCCAGGCAGAGCCCTGTACAGTGGAGGAGCAGGCAGCACAGAGGACACTGATATGATAATTAGAGAAAACTGTAGCCATTCCTAATGAAGCTTTGAAAATTAGCAGTGCAGGTTGTCAGAATACCTTGGGAGAGACTGGCAAGTCATTCCCAGCGGAACCCAATAGAGGTAGCCATCTTGGTGACAGGTGACGTGAAAAGCTCTGCGTCTGCTGACATGTTGTTACTAGGGCTCAATAACTGTGTGCTGATGTGCTTTGAAGTCTGCCACGGTGACTTGTGATTGAAATACGGAGAAGGAGCCCAGGAGGAAACAGGATGTGAACTGATGGCCTAGGAAATGTCCGAGGGAAGAAAGGAAGGGAGTAGGGAGTGAGAGAGTGAGCCAGGGCACTAGCATACGAGGAGCCCCAGCCTCATCCTGGCCCCAGGTGAGGCACGTGCCTCACCCCCAGTGTTAGGGGTGTGTATGGGTTTGGGGAGGGGCCTCTGGAATGCCCAAATCCTGCTGGCCAATCAACTCCTTGCCTGTGAGGTTCCTAAGGGAGCTATTCACACAAGGGTTGATGACAAATGGAAAATCAAAGTACCACTTTATCATTAACTGGGACAACAGAGGTAGACACATTGAAAGAGTTGAAAGTAGCATTGAATGTAGTTCAGCCAAACCGATAGCTGGCCCAGAGGTCTAGCTTTCAGGATTCCAGGACAAATCCAGCCGCCTTGGGACTCACCTCTTAGCATGATCCTGTTCAAGAGTGTGGTGCCCCTGGACACTGGAGAAACCACGAGCTGCCTCCCGGCTAACAGAGAGCCCGAGCCCTTGTACCCAGGCGCTCTGACTGGTAACCTTCTTTCCTCAGAATGAACAGGGTCACTCACTGAAATGTCGGCCTCAGGCAGCCTCTGAGGGCTGCATGGTTCCATCTCTGGAAAAAGGAAAGAGGACTAACAATCATCATGCGCCTACTGTGTGCCAGACACCATGCTGTGTTCTTGGCATGCACTACTTCATCTAATGTTTACAACCACCGTGTGGGCAGGTATTAGTATCTTCATTTTAGAGACCAGGATAAACAGGCACAGGTTTAAGTAAATTGTCCACAGTCACACATCTAGAAAGGAGCAGAGCCAGTATTTAAATCCCGGTCTTTCTGTGTCCAAATTCATGCTGTTTTCGGTATACCAGACTGCCTCCCTACATTTCTAGACCAAAAGCGAAAAGGGGAAGAAAGATGATTCTAAACATGCCTCTGTGGCTTGGCCAGAGAGCACCACCACTGACACTGGACGGAAAATCTGATGACTTTTGCCTCCTGCACCTAAGCAAGTGGACTACCTGAAGTCAGAGGCCCACCCCCGCCCTCCTCATGTCATCTCCCAGGGATGCTCCTAAGGTCAGGAATGAACACCGAGGCCTCTCCAGCCATGCAGCTGCAGCCCACACTAGGGGGCCCAGGCTGTGCTGTTTTGCTCTGTAAATCTTGGGCTTAAGGGGCTGATTTGGGGCCTATGACAGATTGAAAGATGGGCAAAATGCAAAGGCCTTGAGCCCCCTGGCTGTAGATTTGGCCCCAGGGACTCATCTGGTGAGCATTTCCAGTGGATACTCTGCCCTGGACAGAATAATGCCTTCAGCCTGTCCTGGTGGTATCATCTGAGAGAGACCGTCAACCACCTGGATGCTAGCAGGAGAACGGGGTGCTGCAGCCCAGCTTTTCCTCCTTCTCCCTTAGACATCAATATGGAGATGAATACATATGCATAGCGTGTATTTTTTAAATGTGGAGTTCTCGTTTCTATGTCAGAGCAGGCAAGGACCTAAACTGAGATGTGTAAGGAGAGGCTGACACATGGCGACTGTAATAAAGACTATCTGGTTTGTAAGTGAGGAAACTGAGGCTTGGGAAGCTGAAATAGCTTAACAAGGGCCACACAGCTTCAAAGTGGCAAAGTCAGGATTTAACTCAACTTGCTGTCCTAAAGTCCTTGCTCTTTCCAGTCTATTAGACCCCTTATTAGCTAAATGACTAAATGTACCGGAACCCACGTGATCTACCCTCACCTTAAATTTTCAGCCTTCACTCCTACCATTCCCTAGTTCCAACTGTGGGAAGGAAGGGCATTCCAGGCAGAGAACACAGTCCAAGCAAATGGTTTTGATTTGCTAGGTCATAAGGGGCCAGTGAAGGGCTCTGTTCGAAGAACCCACCTCTGGGTGGATATGTTTCTGACCTTTTTCCTCACAAAGGGTGTTTTTCTAAAAAGTAGAGATGGAGGAAGGCCTGAACAGGATGGGCTCCAGTCCAGCAGTAACATGTCTCCCCTCCCATCTTTGGCAGGAACTGCAAGCTCAGCAGCAGCAGCCTGTCCATGGCTGCAGTGGATATTCTCTACATTGACATCACAAGGAGATGGAACTCCATGACTCTGGACCAACGGGATTCAGGTACCTGGCGACTAACCTCTGCCACGTCCTTGTGGGAGCCCAGACAGGGCTGTTCTTTCTTATTAAAGATCATGATGTAGGGAGGAGGAAGATTATCTTATCAGCTCTAGACATCTCTCTAGGAATTGATCTGAACTTGAATTCTGGGGCACTCTCTCCCACCAACGCTGTGCCTGCCCAAATGCTAATTCCACCATGAGAATTCCTTGTCTTTGCTTAAGGTGTTGACTCCATTTATCCTGGGAATACTCAGGTATTTGTTTATTCTTTTCATTCAGTCCCTCAGCAAACATTTATTAAGCATATGCTCTGTGCCAGGCACTGGGTAGACTGGAGTGAACAGCATTTGGTTCTCGCCCTGCAGGAGTTCAGTGTAGACTTGAGAGGCAGCATAGTGTGATGCATGCCAGGATGGAGGGATGCACATAAAGGCTATAGGGCAAGCGAAAAAGAGGCACTGCTAATCAAGGGGGGAGCGGGTTGAGGAAGGCTTCTTTGAGAAGGGCTGGCTGTGCTGGCATTTGAAGGGTGAATGGAATAAGCAGATGAGCAGGGTTGGGCCAGACACTTCTGGGAAGGACACCTCTAGCAGGAGGTGTTGCCCGGCCTAGGGATGAACACCTGTGAAAGCCTGCTGGGCTTGGGCCCCCCAAGTTCAGATTGGCTGGAGCAAAAAGAGAAGGCAGAAGGGGCAGGGATGATGAGGTTGCAGAAGCTGTCAAGGCCTTGAGTGCCACCCAAAAGAATTTGGTTTTGATTCTCTAGGTCATAAGGGACCAGTGAAGGGCTCTGATCAAAGAATCCACCTCTGGATGGATGTGTTTCTGACCTTCTTCCTCAGAAAGGGTGTTTTTCTAAAAAGTACAAGTAACCATAACTGACACTTGTACATCTCATCACAAAATTACCAGGTCCTTTCATGTATGTTCCCTCATTAAGTGTCCCGGGAGCCAGTGCCATAGGTATTATGATTCTTATTTCATGGATGAGTAAACTGCAGCTCAGGTGATCGAGATCGCACAGGAAATGAGGGATGAGCCAGCACCCTGACACCCGTACCCTCTCCACTGGACTGCCTTTGGGGGATAGGACATGAAATCAGAGGTTGGCAATCCAGAGCTGAATTGACCATGCTATTTCCTACCGGTATGAACTTGAAGTGCTTTCACCTCCTAATCTCCATTTTCTCATCTGTAAAATGGTATTAACAATACTTGCTCTCCAGGGTTGCAGTGAGGTTTCATGTGTCAGTGGACAGTGCTTGCATTAATCTCACCACTGGGCACCATTTGGGGAGAATCCTAGGGGCAGGTCTATCTGACAGCAGGGTGCTTCCCGGCCAGATCCTGCCCTCCTGGTGACTGAGGATGTCCCATGGGAGGGTGTACCTGACAGCAGGGTGCTCCCTTGCCTGATCGAGTCCCCCACCCCTGGTCTGCCTGGGCTAAAGCTTCCTGACCACAGGGCCACAGCAGGCTCTCCCTGTAGGCACAGGTGCTCAGGCATTTTTGGGGACTGGCTTCATGTTTGGTAATGATGCTACTGGCTGACAGTGGCTGGGCATTTCGTATGTGCCAAGCACTCTGCTGGGTACTTTACATGTGCAGTCCTTACTAGAATTTACCTGCAAGGTAGATATGATTATCTCCACTGAATAGAGGAGGAAACTGAGGCAAGAGGCAGGGCTAGTAGGTAAGGCTCTAACATGGCGCTGCCACTTATCATTTGTGGGTTGCTTTATCCTACTAATTGCTATGGAGTAAAATGACCACCCAGCCCCTACCACTCCCCTTTCTTTAATTCAAAAGGAAAACTCAGAGAATACCAACACTCACTGAATCAACAAGGTGATTGCTTCTATGGCATCTCTGCAGTCAGCAGGCAGCTCTGTTACAGCCTTCCCTGGCAACCAGGAGAGGCTTGAGATGGGGCTTCTTCAGGAGAAGTAGGCAGATTAATTAACATTTCCAGGACTGAGAGTGCTCATGTGACAGTTGAGCTTCAGCACCTTTTGCTGACGCCTTCAGAAAGTGAAGAAGTGTTTGCTTTGTGAGTTGAATGCAGGGAGTCACCGCAGGATCCGGTAGAGGGGGCCAGATGAGTGGGTGGGGGTGGCAGTGGAATTATTAAATATTGAAATTGATCAGGAGTCGCAGCAGGAAGCTATTTATCATGTTTTATTGCTTCAAACTAGCATTACCATCTGGCCCATTGTTAATTCTAAGTAGCTTTTCATGTTTTGTTTGCCTCTTAAATTGCTCCCTGTAAGTGGAATCCACAGGGGCTGTCCACAATACAGGTTCGGGTGAGGTTTTGTGGGGTCTGCCAGCATCGCTCCATTCTGCTGACCAAGCTAAGGAGAGGAGAAAAATCCTTATTTTTAACTCATACTGACAAGCGAATCCTGGCTGGCTCTTCACCACACCTCAGCCCCCAAATGTATGAAATTAGTAAAAACTGCAACTTTGAGATTACCTCATATGTGCATATACCACTGCTGATTCTCACATCAGGCTTCTGAGAGGGGTAATAGTGTACCATTTTACAGATGATGAGCACACTGAGGTTCCCACAGCAAAAGTGACTTGTCTAAAATCCCACAGCTAGTGAGTAGCTAAGGTCAAGTTTGAACTCAAGGCCCCTGCCTCCTGTCCCAGAGCTTTGTTCCCCATCCAGGGCTACACCAAGCAGTGCTTGTTCATCTTAATAATGGGGAGGGCTCGGGGCTCATGAAGCTGGAGTCAGAGGGAAAGGCTGGGAGATGAAAGCTCAACCCAGGCCTGTTGGGAGGACAGAGCTGGACTGGAAGGTAGTGCCTTGTCCAAGTGCCTGTCTGTCTTTTCTTCATCCTTGGATCTTACACTCCTGTTTCTATCTCTCCTGAAAGGAAGTAACAGGGCCTGGGGTGTTTAGGAAGTGGGGGTTAGGCATTTAAGCCAGGAAGGGGAAGCCAACTTGTGGCCAAGGTCTCAAGGACCACTGCTGTCTCGCAACTGAGTGCCAAGCCAGGGCCCAGTTCATACCTCCTGAGGAGGATGGTCAGAGACCACTGAGCCTTAGGGAGAGGGAGCATCTGAAGCCAGCCACAATCTTAGGACCATTCAGGAAGCTATTGGATGGCAAAAGAAGAAATCTGTTGTTGGGTGGTGGTCCTTCATTTTGGCAAGTGTCAGCAGAAAAACCAGAGAGTTGGAACTTTCCTTTCCTTCATGGTGCAGAGCCAAGGGATTCTCAGGACCCCCCCCAGTTACAGGTAAGTCCTGGCCAGAGGTGTGGGTGCCATGTCAGGGGGCAATAAGTTTATGGGACTGACAAGAAAGAAGTCTTTGAAGAGCTATCGAAAGTGGGTTTTCATTCTCAAAGAACATGCGCTCATTCATTCATTCATTCAACAATCAGGTAATATACAATTTACTGGATGTTGGGCCCTACAGGAATATAAATGCAAATTATTACAGATCCTACCCTCTTAATAAAAAAGAAGAGACAATTTACTGAACATTTACTATGTGACAGAAATAAAAAATGCTCATTGTGAATTATTTAATTCTCACATAACCCTATGAAATGAGGTTTGTTATTCCCATTTGATAAATGAGACACCTGAGGTTTAAAGAGGTGATAAGTATTACAGTGGGGCCCTGGGACTTGACCCGAAATCAGTCTGACTTTAGAGCCCACGCCCTTTCTGTTATACCCAGTGTCTCTCAGTCATGGCAATGAACATGGTGCACAGTTGATAACTGCAGCAGGGTATAGCCGGCTATGATGGGGAAAGCCCAGGGAACTGGGGCAGCAACAAAGGAGGGTTGTCATGAGGGTTAAGAAGGGGAACACATACAAAGCACTTTACATAGCGTCTGCCAAACCACCGAGAATCATAGCCTAGCCAAGCTGACACATAACATTAACCATCACACAGAGAGTTCTGGGTGTTAGAACCATGGCTTACAGTAGAGACTGTCTCATTGACAGGATCTCCCTTTCCTCTACTTAATGCCCAGCATAAAATAGTAGCTCATCTGGATAAAATCATCACCCTGTACCTAGCCCCAGCAGATTCAAAGTGCTAAAGTACTGACCCTTTTCCTGAAGCCTGCCCAGATGGTCCTTCTGCCCTAATGAGACCTTAGTACCTACCAGAGGGGTTAGTCAGATCCATGATATTTGAGAGCTTTACAAGCAAAGATAACCTGCATGAGGAAACCCAGCTATTGAAATGGAGAAGAAACATATGACCCTATAGGACAGAGCAGAACTGCCCCATAGGGTTTCCAGGGAGTGGCTGGTGGATTCAAACTGCCAACCTTTTGGTTAGCAGTCAAGCTCTTAACCACTGCGCCACCAGGGCTCCTTAAAAAGATTAGCAAGGAGAACACCCAAAACCTGTGAGAAAAAAAAGCATGCACGTTGTGAAATCTAAATCTCACACCATCCTTTTAAACAGACTTTTTTGTTTTTGATTGTTTTGTTTTTGATTGGCCCTCAGGTGCATAGAATTGGATTAATCATAATTCTTGGTTCATGAGACACTTTCATCATTGGTCCATGCATAGCCTGCTTTTATTTAGTTAGTTTTGAATTAGTTACTTTTAATAATGGACTAAACATCCACAAACTCACCACCCATATCAAAAGCTAGGACCTTGACAATAACTTACATCTAACACGTGGTTCTCCCCCAATACCAGCCCATCCTCCACCTCTCTCCAACTAGGGAACCCTCATCTTGCATCCAGTGTTCATGGCTTCCTAAATAGGCTTGTTCTCATCTCTGTTAGAATGCCAATAACTATTTAGGAGCTTGATGGAATTTAGTAATACACAGTCTAATGCTCTCCAGCATGCCAATGTAATTGTCACTTTTCATTTAAAAAAAATTTAAGTGATGAGTTTTAATTTCCAACTGTAGAATTTCCAGCAGAACATAGAAATCTAAATGACAGTGTTATCAGCAAAACTGGGGTGAAGTAGCCCTCTCGTTGCCTGGAATGAAATGA